CCTCCTCCGCTTCCTCCTCCTCCTCCTCCTCCTCCTCCCTCCCTCCTCCTCTCTCTTCCTCTCTCTCTTTCTCTGTCTCTGTCTGTGTCTCTGTGTCTGCCTCTCTCTCTCTCTCTCTCTCTCTCTCTCTCTCTCTCTCTCTCTCTCTCTCTCTCTCTCTCTCTTCCCTCCTGCCTCCCTTGGCCCCCGTTTTGCCTGCTGCAGCGGCTGCAGCTGCTCCGCGGCTTCCTGCTCCTTCTTGCAGCACCTCGGGCACTCGCCGAAATCCTCGCACTTGTACTCGGCTCCGCAACCGGAGCACGCCCACGTGGGATCGACCTCCGAGTCGGACTCGACGATGGCAACTGGAGTGGGCGGCAATACACCTCTCAGATCGGGCTGCGGTCCTCCTGTCGGGACGCCCGCGCTGTCCACCTCGCCGCCCGCGTCCATCATCTCGCCGTCGCGATCGAACTCCACGACTGCGTACTCGACGGAGTCGCCGATCTCCACCGCCGCGGTGTCCTCGTGAGCTGGGAGGTGACCCTGTTCCTGGCCAAGCTCGGCGTCCTCGTCCACGTCGTCTTCAGCGCCTGCATCGTCGTCGGCACACCCGCGTGCCCTGCTGCATCTCGCCGGCGGCCACTTGACGAGGCTCTTCAGCTCGCGCATGATGGGGCTGTAGCTCGAACGCCCTCCTCGCGACAGGTAGCGAACAGCGCCGATCAGCTTCTTGATGTCGTTCGCCTCCATCACGGCCATGCTCGTCTTGTCCTGGAGCCCCGCCTCGTCCACGCCTGGAATCTTGAGCAGATTCCCTGCCAGCAGGCCGTCCGCGATGAGCATCGCATCTGCGATCATGTAGGGCGAAGGCGTCTTCATCGGATACGCCCTCAGCACAGGCTTGATGAAGATGTAGTTCTTCTCGCACTGCGCCATCGTCGGGGTGTCGGCGATCGGCTGAATCAGCCTGCCGCCCTTCCACTGCCCGCTCTTGATCTTCTCCTGCGTCGCGGCGGGCAGCACCCCGACGATCTTCTCGGCCAGCACTTTGCACGCGTCGCCGCTCCAGCCCACGCGCCGCTTCTTGCACGACCTCCACGTCGAGGTCGACGAGCTCGCCTCCGACGCCAACGACGCCATGGCCTGCAGCTTGCGCCTCGCGAGGGCGCCTGCAGGAGGTCGCGCCTCCAAGGCGCGGATGCCAAAATGGCTGCGACGGAGGGGGGATGGAGGGAGGAGTGAGGAGGGGTGGAGGGGGGATGGAGGAGGGATCTCATCCTCCTCCTTGTTCTCATTCCTCCGTCTCGCATCGAGGAGGTGAGGGGGGGGGAAGGTGGCGCAGGGCTGAGTGGGGAGAAGGCGGTTAGAAAGGGGTGGGGAGGAGGAGTAGGAGGGAGGGGCCAGGGGTGGGAGGGGGGGAGGGGTGGGAGGCTGGGTGAAGGGGCGGGGAGAAGGAGGGGGGAGGGAGGGTTGAGGAGAAGGGGTTACCGAAAGCACATTGATTTTCAAGAGTTGCCCCCCCGTCGAACTCCTCACCCTCTTCCTCCCTCCTCCTCCCTCCTCTTACTCCTCTAGCTCCTCTTCCTCCTCCTCCCTCGTGCTCCTGCCACTGCTCCAGCTCCCGTTCCTTCTCCTGCTCCTGCTGCTGCTGCTGCTGCTAGTGCTGTTGCTGCTGATGCTGCTCCTCCTCCTCCTCCTACTCTTCCTCCTTTTCCTCCTCATCCTCCTTCTCCGAAGTGGCGCGCTTGGCGCAGGGTGGCGGGGCGCGCCTCCTTCGGCTGCAGCCGCGCGCGCACCCCTTCACCCAACCTGAGCCCTCCGGCGACGGCGCTGGCGGCGGAGGGGGAGGAGGAGGAGGGCGAGGAGGAGGAGGAGGAGAAGGGATGAGGAGGATGAGCAGGATAAGGAGGAGGAGGAGGAGGTGGAAGAGGAGGAGGAGGAGGAGGAGGAGGAGGAGGAGAGGAAGAGGAGGAGGAGGAGGCGGCGACGGCGGCTGCAGCGGCCGAGGACAGTGAAGAGGCGGATGGGAGGAAGAGGAGGAGGAAGAGGAGGAGAAGGAGGAGGGGGATCAGGAGGAGGAGGAGGATCCCTTTGCAAGCGCTTCCACTCAAGGAACACCATGGAGGGGAAAAGTGCCCCCCTCCTCGCCCCCAAGAAGCGTCGGCTCATGGAGGAGGAGGGCGAGAGGAACAAGAGAGAGTGGGAGGAGGAAAGCAAAGCAAATCCAGCTCTCTTAGCCTTTCCCATTCGTTTCTTTTTCTGTTCGAGGCAAGGGCGGGCAGGAGGGGCAGGGGGGGGCGGAGGGGCAGCAGGGTCGAGAGAATTGGATTTGCATTGCGTTCCCCCTTCCATCAGAAACGGCGGCGATGGCCACGGAAGACAAACCCGAGCCGCCATCGCACCAGCCTCGCGCGCACCTTTATGCCTCAGCATTTCGCGCGGGGCGAATTGCTGAGGGATAAGGGTGCGCGTGAGGAAGACTGGTGCGTCTGGGCCCTGAGGGGTCCGGTTCGGACGACGACGACGACGGCGGCGGCGGCGACGGCGGCAACGGCGCCCGGGGACCGCGGACGAGGAGTCCACTCTCTCCTCGAGGCTCGAGGTTTGAGGTTCGAGGCTTTCGGCCTGCGGGGGTCCATCCTCGTCGCCGCGGCTGGGCGCGGCTCGGAAGACTGGTGCGTCTGGACCCTGAGGGGTTCGGTTCGGATGACGGCGACGACGACGAATCCCTTTTGGGCCCACTCGTGAGCAAGAGTACTGCGCGGACCACTCGTGAGCAAGAGTACTGCACGGACCACTCGTGAGCAAGAGTACTGCACGAGGTGGCCCCGAGGGCGAGCGGCAGGGGGGTCAGGATCCTGAGGGCGAGGGGCAGCCGTGAGGAGGTTGAGGAGGAGGAGGAGGCAAAGGTAAAAGGTAAAAGTCCTGGCTCCGAGGAGGCCCCGCGAGGGGGCAGGACAGCAGCGCAGCGCTGGCATCATCCTTCGATGAATTGCGCGAAACACTCTGCAGGGAAGGCCTTGCCTTCAAGATCACTTATAGAGCGCCAGCAGGAATTATGCGAGCAGTCGCGAGGGGGAGGAGGAGGAGGATGTTCAAAGCATCGCGAGGAGGAGGAGGAGGAAGAGGTTAGCAAACAGCGCGGGCACTCTTGCCCACGCGGAGGAGGAGGAGGAGAAAGAGGTTAGCAAACAGCGCGGGCACTCTTGCCCACTTGCTCACTTACCAGGGCTGATGCTCACCTGCCGCATCGCGAGGACGAGGGGGAGGAGGAGGAAGAGGTTAGCAAACAGCGCGGGCACTCTTGCCCACGCGGAGGAGGAGGAGGAGGAAGAGGTTAGCAAACAACGCGGGTACTCTTGCCCACTTGCTCACGCGCTGGGTCGATGCTCGCTGGGGACTGATCGTAAGGCCCTAACGCGGCTGACTGGGGCTCCTATGATGCTGCCCTAACGCTCCCGCGCTGGCACTGCTCGACAAAGCGCGCAAGCCTGCCGGGCCGCGAGGGTACATGTCGTTCAGAGGCGCTGAGATGCCCGCGATCGCGGCGGCGAGCTGCTCGATCTTGTCCTCGACTTCCGAGCTGTGCGTCGCGATCTTCTCTTTCATAGTCGCGATCTCAGTTGCCAGCTCATCCCTGGACTTCTCGATCTCTGCCAAAATGGCTTTCGTGTCATCGGAGTGCACCAATCCAGGAGGCGAAGCGATGGCGGCTCCTGCTGCCGCTGCTGGAGGCCCCTGGTCTCGAATCGCCTGCCGGGCTGCATTTGTCCACTGCCCGCCGCCGGCGGTGCCGCCAGCAGCAGGCGTCGGCACGTCGTCAGTGGGACTGTTGCTCCAGAACTTCGGCGTGATCTGGCGGCTCTCGAAATCGATGAGGGGGGCGTGCGCGCGTTGCTCATGCCCGCGATCCCTGCACCCGAAGCACCAGTACCACGCCATGTTCCTGTGGCGCTTCTGCTCGAGGTGTTGGGCATTGTCCAGCGAGCAATTGCAAGCCAGGCACCGCCAATCTTGTCCGCGCTTCTCGATGTAGGGCGACGGGATACGCCGCCCAGTCGTCATCATCACGAACTCAGGGCGCGTGCGGGCCATGAGGCCTGTCAAGAAAAAACAATACACAGTACTGCACGTTCAATCTCAGAAGTGCACTTGCCTCGCTGAGGCGCATAAGGGAGCCAAAACGGCTATGGTGGGTCGAGGAGAGAGGCGGAGGCTCGCACTCAAGAGGGATCGGGGCCTTCACTGCCCCGCCCTGCGGCACTCCCGAGAACCGCCCCACGACCCGCCCGCGGCCCGCCCCGCGACCCGCCCCGCGACCCGCCCCTCGACCCGCCCCGCGACCCACCCCGCGATCCACCCGCGACTCATCTGCGACCCTCTGGCCGCGACCCGCACCGCGACCCGCCTCGCGTCCGCCCCCTCGCTCTTATCCGCAATGATGAGTTTTTTCTGCATATGAGGCTATGAGAAGTCATGAGGAGCTATGAGATGATGACACAAAGTATGAAGTGAGGTGTTATGATTTAACATAAGAATATATGAGGGATCTGATTGTGTTATGACTTAGCATATCAAGTGTTGTGTTATGGATTAACATATGACGTTATGTGTTACGCTTGGGCCCGGGCCGCAGGCGCAAAGACCCGCGCAATGCGCAAAACCTGGCCGGTTCGAAGATAACAAGCCTTACCAAGGTAGATGAGAAAAGATCCCAAGACGCCCCCAAGAGGGCCCAAGATGACCCAAGATGGTCCAAGACGGCCTTGCCTGCGAGCGCAGCGTCCAGCAGTAGCGTGGTGGTGGTGGTAGTAGTAGTAGTTATCTGTTCTGGCTTAGCATATGAAGTTATGTGCCTTGGCTCAACATATGAAGCTACGTGTTCTGGTTTAACTTATGAAGTTATGATGAGTCTGGTTGTGTTATTTTAACATATGACGTTATGTGTTATGGCTTCACATATGAAGTTATGTGTTGTGGTGTAACAGATTGACGTGTTCTGAATTTATCACATTATATTAGGTGGTTTCATGATGCAAAACCTGGATGAGTTTGCATCGTGGACTTGTGGAAGCCGATCTGAGGCTCCAGCAGCCAAAAGTGAGCTTGAGCTTGAAAGAGGCAGTTGAGCTGCGCCAGGCGCAGCTCAAGATCCTCCAGGTGTGCCAGGGCGACTTCTCGAGGCCCTCCCTCGAGCTGCCCCTGCCGATGTAGACGTCCCCAGGGAGCAGCTGGCCCACCTGGCTGATGGTGGCCCGAGAGGGTGGAGGGCCCCCGCCGACCATCACCCCATCCCGCAGGGGGTCGAAGGGGGTCAGGAAGTCCTCGATGATGGCGGTCGCGATCCACCTGTTCATGGCCACTGGGTGCGCGGCCGTGTCCGCCAGCTCCCGCTTGCGCCGCCCGTCGGGCGTCGCCAGCTGGCGCGAGCCGCTGGGGGGCGGGCTCAGCGGGCCGCGGTACCAGCCCTCGCCATCCAGATCTGGCCAGCCCAGCGCGCGTCCAGCCGCCAGCGCGCCGAGGTCCGTGAGGAACCTCGTGGGCTTTGGGTACAGCACGCCGAACTCGAGCTGGTGGAACGCGAACGTCACAAAGCCTGAGTCCGGCCGCGTGATGCGGCGGAACTGGGGGAGCTGCCACAGGCTGGCTGGCCTCCCCCCCGCAATCGTGCGGACCCGACCAATGGCCCTGCGCGCGCCCAGGTCCTCCGGGAACTCCATGAGGCCGCGCGCGCGGTGCCCGACCGACCTGGCATGGATGACGGCCTCCAGGATCTGCGCCGCGAGCAAGCCGAGGACGTTGGTGTCCTGCACCTTCTCCTTCGACGGGCCCTGCAGCCATGGGAAACCGAGCGGCCACGTGGCGTTCCGCAGCGGCGGCGGGCCCTGCCAGTTCGCGAACAGCGACCTCGAGAAGGTGCTGCATGGAGGCGTGGCAATCGCCACGCCGTGCGCCCCCTCGCGGACGTCCTGGAGGTGGCGCAGCCTGGCATCCGAGTTCAGGAGGTCGTGCGTCCACCTCGACGACCTCCAACTCCAGCGGGGTCGCTGCGACCTTCTCCTCCAGGCACTCCTTGGCGCTGGCCCGCCGGGAGAGGCCCGAGAAGAGGTAGAGGACGCGCAGGTGCTTCCGCGCGGGCTCGCGGCTGCCAGGCCCCGCGCCGCCGCTGCCGAAGTCGGCGTCGTCGCCATGACCCGCAGCGCCCCGTGTCCGCAGCGCCGCCCCTCTCGGCCCAAGGGGAGGGCCGCTGCGCCCCCCTGGGAGGAGGGTCGCGGCGGCCGCAAGGGCGTGGACGAGCGGGCCGCCCGAAGGTGCCGCGCCTGCAGCAGGGGGCGAGGCCACGGCCTCTACTTGAACAGAACGATCTTCATGAGGTGCAGCGCCAGGGCCCGCTGGCGCGTCTGCTGCGTCGGGCGGGCCCTCGCCGCCCGACGCCGCAGATAGTCAACCCAGCCCAGCCCGGAGCGCTGGCGCGCCAAGCCCACCGCCGCCCGCAGCGGGCGCATCAGCCAGGGCGGGCTGCGCGCCATGTCCACCCCGGCCGCCAGGGCGGTGCTGGTAGACCGGGTGGTTGCCCAGGCAGATCCGGCACACGTGGACCGCGCCGCAATCGCCCCGGCAGTTCTCCCGCTCGTTGTTGCACGCGAAGCAGATGTTGCGGCCGTCGGGGGTCTTCCTCAGCAAGATCTCGCCGCCGAGACGATTCTTGCCGCCGCCCTTGCCTCTGCCCTGGCCCCTCGACCTGCCCCTGCCGCCGCCGCGGCCCCCGCCGCGGCGCGGGGTGCCGCCTGAGCCACGGCCCGAGGGGCCGTCCATCAGGGCGAGGCGGGGGCTGCGAGAGCGGTGACTGTCCTCAGCCGCCCTGCCTGTGGCCGCGGATGCCGCGACCTGCGTGATGAAGAGGCGATCCCGCAGCGAGGTGTCATTCCAGGCGTCCCGCAACGCCTGCTCGAAGGTCTTGCCGAAGTTCATCATCCGAGCGCGCTCCTTGCGAATCTGGTGGTCGTAGTGCATGACCTGGTTCCAGCTCGGCCTGCTGACGATGTTGCCCTGTAGGTCCTTGGCCGTGAGCCCGCGAACGTGGTCGCCCAAGATGTACTCCAGGTACTCGTTGAAGAGCTCCACCGAGGCGCTCTTGAGGGCTGGCCGACCCGGATGCCTCAGCCTCGCGTACACGTAGGCCAGCGCCAAAGTCCGAACCCTCTTGCGGAACGCCTCCGGGTCCGTCGGCGCCGAGATCTCTGTCTTGCCACGCCTCAGCCTGATGATGCCCGACATGTCCACGGCCGCGCCCATCTTGGAGTCGTCGCCGTCCTCGATGCTGACCACCTGCGTGAGCGGGACCGCCCCCATGTTGGACTCCTCGATCATCTCCATCACCTGCTCGACCAGCGGGGCCCCCGGCGCCGCGCGGTCCTCGATCGCGCCGTGGATCTGCTGTGCTGCCTTGCGCATCGAGAGGTGAGTCGCCTTGCCAATCAGTTTCGGCAGCCGCGCGCTCTTCGCCTCGGCCTCCTGTTTGCGATCCTCCTCAGCACGGCGGCAGGCCGTCTCCCAGGCGTCGATCGCCTTCACGATGGCCAGGCGGGCCGCGGGGCCCCCTTCCCCTCCAGCAGCAGGGTCGAGGCCGAAGTCCCGCGTCAAGACAGCCCTCACCCGGGCTCGGTCGTCATCCAACAACGCGAAGCGATTCAACGTGTTGTAGCCCTGCCCGGCCATGGCGTCCTGCACGGCATCCGGGACCTCCTTCTCCTCCAGCAAGAACCGAAGGTCCGCCGCGAGCTGGCCCCGCGGCTGGGCCATCGCGTCGCGCCCAGCGGGCGGCCGCTGACCAAGGCCTCGAGCGGGTGCCAGACCAGGTCCAGCACAAGCAGTCAAGCTCGCCAAAAGCTCGAGCCGAGCGCGATGGAAGGGGGGCGAGAGAGGGGACCGGGGCTGAGCTAGCGAGGCCCAAGGGGAGGCCGAGCGCCGGCCAGGAGGCGGCCCTCCTCGCGCCCGACGAAGCCCCGCGGGCCCTCGCACCCCTCCCAGTTCTTTTCTCTCGGTCCCCCGTCAATGGATGTCCCGACGCAGCGCCTGCTGCATCGCGGGCGCGGCTCTATTGCAGAGCTGGGAGATGCGGCCCGGCGCTCGCCCGAGCGCCGCCGCGCGCCCGTCGGGCACCCGAGCGCCGCCGCGCGCCCCCCCGAAGTGCGCGCTCCGAAGTCCAGAATTTCTGAAGTGATTTTTCCGGACTTCGGCAGGCCCCCCTGGCCCCGAGGGCTTCGCATCAGCCAGCCCCGGGGGCCTCGCACCTGCGAGCCCCTCGGCGGCGGGTCCGGCCCGGCGCCTCCTGGCGCCGCCGAGCCCTCCTACTCCTCGTCGACTCCATCGGCCTCCGCGGCCCCGCCAGCGAGCCTGTCCGGCCTCAGGGCGGGAACCGCCACGTCGAACTCGGCCCCCGCCTCGGCGTCGCTGCTCTCCGGCGAGCTGTCCTGCGCCCCCTGGTCCACGGCGCCTCCCGGCCAGCGCGCGTAACAGATCATGTTGTACTCCGACGGCGCGGGCGCGAAGATGCCGAGGTCGCGCCGCTGGCGGTAGTCCACCCCCGGGACGCGGTAGCAGCGGCCCCTATGGTGGAGCCTCCTGGCGCCCTTCGGCGAGATTGAGATCACGTAGTCCTGAGGCGGCGTGTCCTCCTCGCTGGACGTCGCCATCTCGATCAGCACGTCCTGCAACGCGGCCCCCTCGCCCCCAGTGGCTCATCAGGTCGCCGAGCGCGGCCGCCAGCAGCTGGGAGCCACCGCCCCCGGCCCGTGGGGAAGGCGCCTCCTCCCCCGGGCGTGGCAACACAACAGGGGTGTCCGTGCCATCCTCCAGCTCGCCCCGGCGCTGCTTGGCCTCCTGCAGCACGGCTGGCGGCCCAGGGTAGTCGCCGAAGTACACGAGGCGGCCCCTGATCCGCGCGACCTCCTGCGGATCGCACCCGCGCTCCGCCATGAACTTCCCGAGGGCGTCCAGGGCGGTGGCCTCGTCGAGGAAGTCCGGGCCGCCGCCGCCCTTCCTGACCAGCATCGCCAGCTCCCACTGCAGCCTCTCCACGATGATCCTCTGCGTCCTCACGTAGGCCTCCGACATGGACGCCGACCACCTGCCCAGACGGTCGATCGTCGCGCGGCCCCTGCCGAGGGCTGCCGCAGCGCTGGCCATGCAGCACCGCTCGCTGTGCTCAGACCAGAAGCGACCTGCCACGTCGCCGAGGAGCCTCTCGTCGTCCAGGATGAGCCACTCGCCGCCCTCAGCGTGCAACATCCGAGAGAGGGCCTGGGAACTGCACGAAGCCTCGTTCCATCCAGCGGGCCTGTCCACCACGCCGTTCAAGTCCGCGGACGGCAGCGGGATGAAGAACTTCGCGTCCGGCCAGCTCTGCTTGATCTCCCACCAGGCGGCGAGCCAGCCGCTCTCCATGTAGTAGGCGCCCGCCGCGACGTACGCGTACAGCCCGGTGATCTTGCGCCCCGGGCCCGAGGTCTTGGTCCTCGCCAGGCCCGAGCGCAGGCCCCTTGCCTCAAGGTAGACCTCGTCGACCCACCTCGCGTCGCTGAACCGCAGCGAGGCCCAGTACTTGATGCGCCTCACCCCGGCGTAGTACCGCGTGTAGCGCGGCTGCGCGCCATTCATGACATGGCGCTCCCAGGCCCTCACCACCTGGACCAAGATCGGGGGGGCCTTCGACGCCGCGGTCGAGACGCCGGCCCCCTCGAGCGCCCCCGCAAGCTGCTTCTCCGCGCCAAGGGCCACCGGATGGCAGCCCAGCCTGCGCTCCGTGGGGGCGCGGCCGATCTCCTCGAAGAACCTCAAGGACGCCAGCGCCGAAGCCAGGACCGTCTTCCCGCACGGCTCCGCCGCCCGGGGCTCCAGGTAGCTGACCACGTCAGAAGCGCCCCGTGGCCGCGGGCCGCTCGTAGCTGTCTCCATCCACTGCCGCATCCGGCGCCAATCGCCAAGAACCGCCTGCAGCGTCGCCGCCCGGCGGCCCGCCGCCAAGTAGCCCAGGTGCTTCCGGGGGTCCGTCACGCCCTCGAGCTCCATGACCACCGGGAACTGTAGGTGGTAGACCTCGTCCACCAGGCGCCCCTGGAACCGCGCCCTCTTGGCCTCCTCCAGCTGGGCCAGGGTGCTAGCAGGGGCCACGTCAGCACGGGCCCGCGCCTGGCGCGTCGGCCAGCGCGCCTCCGCAGGCGGCGCGGGCAGCGGCACGGCAGCCCGGCGGATCAGCGCCTCCAGGTCCCGCTCGCGAGCTAGCCTCTGGCATTTGGCCAGCTCCCCCGCCAGTGACCCCGCGGGGAGCAGGGCGTGCGCCCGCCGTCCAAAGCCCGCCGCCTCGGCCGCGAGAGGCAAAGGGGCGGCGAGCTCCCCCAGCAGCTGCCCCGCCTCCTGGTCTACGAGAGGCGTTCCGTCGTGGACCTCCAGCCCGAGGTAGATCGCCAGCTCCTCAGGCTCCAGGTCGTCGAGCGTCGCCAGCCGGCTGGGCACCGTCAGGCCCTGCCGCTCGAGCGCCTCCCGCAGGCCCTGCGAGGCCGAGTCCAGAGCCGCCGCCCAGACGCGCTCGGGGCGGCCTCGCCCCACCGGGCGCATCGCGCCCCCGCTCCGCGGCCCCCCTTCAGCGACGGGAAACGCCCTCCCCCATGGGAGGGCGGCTTGAGCCCGAATAGGCCACGGAGGATAATGGCCCCCCCCCGCCAACTGCGTCGGAGGGGGGAAGGGGGTTGCTAACGAGGCAGGGGGCTGTACTTGTTGCAAACGCTGCTTGGGAGGCTCGCGAGGTGCGCGACTCGCAGGACACCAATCGATGGACAAGGGCTTGATGGAGGTGATTAACTGCTTTCCCTGGCTCGGCGGGAAAGAGAGGCGAGGGCTGAGAGGAGAAGGCGGAGAGGGAGCTTAAAACGTCAGCCCCCCTCCCCAGCAGAGCCTGGGTGAGACCCCGCTGCGTTGGCCCCCACAGCGACCCTCGAACGTGGCGACTGCTTCGCAGATCGCAGCCCCCCCAAGGATGGCGAGGTCTCAACTGACTCTGCGGCGAGTACGTACCCACTATGCTGCTCCCCTTCGGGCAACCGTCGAGAATGGCGGCAATTTCGCAGATCGCAGCCTCCGGGGGATGGCGAGGTCTAATCTGGATCTGCGGCGACTACCCACTATGCTGGCCCAGCAACCCCTGAAAATGGCGACAGCTTCGCAGGCTGCAGCCCCCAGGGATGGCGAGGTCTTAGCTGGCCCCCCCAGCAGCCCTCGAAAGCGTCAACAATTTCGCAAATCGACTGCCCCTCCCCTGGGATGGCGAGGTCTAGTCTGGATTTGCGGCGAGTGCCCACTGTGCTAGCCACCCCCCGCAGCCCTTGAAAGTGGCGGCAGCTTCGCAGATCGCAGCCCCCCAGGGATGGCGAAGTCTAATCTGACTCTGAGGCGGGTGCACACTACGCTGGCCCCCCCTGCAACCCTCGAAAGTGGCGACTGTTTCGCAGATCGCAGCCCCCCCAGGGACGGCTAGGTCTAATCTGAGTCTGCGGCGGGTCCACGCTATTGCCGTGGGACTCCTGTGGGCCACTCTCTTGGCTCATTTTTAATGACTCTCTCTCTCTCTCTTTTCCTCTCTCTCTCTCTCTCTCTCCCTCTCTCTCTCTCTCTTTCTCTCTCTCTCTCTCTCTCTCCCCCCTCTCTCTTTCTCTATTTTTTTTTTTCTCTCTCTCTCTCTCTCTCTCTCTCCCTCTCTCTCTCTCTCTCTGTTGCGGATTTACAGACTGATTCCTTCTGTGACGGATTTACAACTTGATTCCTTTCGTGGCGGATTTACACATTGATTCCTTTTGTGGCGGATCCGCCACCACCACCGCCGCCGCCTCCTCTCCTATTTCCATTTCCCATATTTCGGCATTCCCTCCCCCCCCTCCATCCCGACATCCCTCCACCACTAACGACCATGCGGGCGGGGCCGGTGGTGTGAGCAAGGAGATAAGGAATTGCTGTTCTCCCGCCACCAACACCTCGCCCTTTCCTCCCCCATCCCAAGTCCCCCTCACCTCCATTCGTCCAGATCGGCCGCCCCCCACCGCGACCACATCTCAATGTCCCCATCCGCTCCCCCCATCGTTCCCTGTCCCCTGCCCCATCCCTCTCGCCGTCTCTCGCGCTCTCGCACGCCTCAAAAAAGGGAGGGATAGCGACTAGGAGGGAGAGAGGAATGGGGGAAGGGCCGCGGTGCGAAGGGGGGAGGGAGAAAAGGCGGATGGAGGGAATTGGGATGGCATCCGCGAGGGAGGGGGAGGGGGGACATGAGAGGACCATGCCCCCATTAACACGACTACCTGCAGCTCTCTCGTTATCTCTCTCCTCTCTCTCTCTCTCTCTCCCCTCTCTCTCTCTCTGTCTCGCTTTCTCTCCTTCGCCCTTCCATGCCACCCTCATTGGTTCCCTGCAGCACCACCGCGACTTCCCCTACGCGCCTCGCATGCTTCCACTAACTGCTCATGACTCCTTACATCGAGGGTGGCGGCGGTTGGAGAAGGAGAGGGGCAGGCGGCGAGGATGTTTTGAGCGGCTGCCATCCCCCCCCCCGCCTCCCTCCCTCTGCAACGCAGCCACTGGCATTTCTCTCTCTCTCTCTCTCTCTCTCTCTCTCTCTCTCTCCTCCCTCTCACCGTTCCTCCCCCCTTCCCTCCATATTTGAGGGCGGTGGCGGCGCGGAGGGCGAGGGCGCGGAAGAATGGGGGGAAGTTGAGGGGGGCGGGAGGTCAATGTAGAGACGGAGAAGCATGGTGGTGGGAGGGCATCATACCCCTCCCGCCGCCCGCCCATTCTGCCCTCAGAAACGCCCTCCACACGCATTTTTTTCATCTCCCATCCCCCCCCCCCTCCCCTCCCTCTCACCTTCTTTCCTCCCTTGCGTGCACGTGCATATGTGTATGTGCGTGCGCAGGGATGCCTGCACTTGCAAGAAGTGTGCGCGTGCGTGCAATTCCGCGTGCATGTTATGCATAACATGTGAATGTCGATATATATATATATATATATATATATGTATGTATATATGCGTGGTAAAACCAACGCGAAGGGATCGGATGGGGGAGGAGGGGGATGCAGGACGCAGGAGGGAGGTGGCAGGATGCAAGCGGAGGAAGGAGGGGAACCAGGACTATGAGGGAGGGCCATGTGGATCGGGGATGGGGGGGAAGGGAGGGGGCGAGGAGGGATCAACGATGCCAGAAGGGGGCAAGGGGGAGGAGGGAGCTGGGGTGGCGGCGGGGAAGGGGGACAGCGGGGTGAAGGAGGAGAGGGGATGGAGGAGGCGAGGGCGGGGTAAAATGCGGAGGTGGGGCCGAGGAACAAGAGACGAACGACGAGGAGTTGGAGAAGGGGGGGTGGGCGAGGAGGAGGACGACGACGGCGACGGCAACGAGGATGAGGAGGAGGAGGAGGAGGATGGATGGGGGGGAGGAGGAAGATGAGGGGATTATGATGAGGAGGAGGAGGAGGAGACGGGGGAATTTGCGATGTAGGCATCGCTGCTCGCTCACAACTTGCACGCGCGTGTTCTTAATAGCCGTCGCACCTGAAAATAACTCGCGAGTTTAGCCTGCCCGCATGTCCATTTGATTGCAGTAGAAACGTCAGAAAGCATCTCCGTCAATGAGTCCACGGGGGGAGGAGGAGGAGGAAGGAATGCAGGATTGGGAGAGAACGGAAGAGCCAAACGGAGTTGGACAAAGAACTGCCCTTAAACCCTTTGAAGGCCGAAAGCCAGCCATGCCCATCCAGCCTGGCGCCTGAGGAGTTCCAGACTGGATGGGTATGGCGGGCTTTCGGCACTTTGAAGGTTGCAGGCGTCCCTCTCCTTCTCCCCCTCCCTCTCCTTAATGATTATCTCTCCTTCTCTCTGTCCCTCTGTCTCTCTCTCTCTCTCTCTCTTGTGGCGGATGCCAACATGTTTCCTTTTGTGGCGGGTTACAACGTGACACCTTTTGTGGCGGATTGCAAGGTTATTCCTTAGGTGACGGATTACAACTTGATTCCTTTTGTGGCGGATTATATAGTGATTCATTGTGTGGCGGGTTACCAGTTGATTCCTTTTGTGGCGGGTTACAAATTGACCCCCTTTGTGGCGAATTACAAAAGGAATCCTTTTGTGGGGGATTACAAACTGAATTCCTCTGTGGCGAATTACACAGGCGATCCTTTTGTGGCGGGTTACACATTGATTCCTTTTGTGGCGGATTACAAAGGGATTCCTTTTGTGGCGAATTACAAAAGGAATCCTTTCGTGGCGGATTACACATTGATTCCTTTTGTGGCGGGTTACAAAAGAAATCCTTTTGTAGCGAATTACCAAGGGAATCCTGTTGTGGGGACCTTTAGCGGCCTGGACGTGCGAGAGGTTCCAAAGGTCTGAAAATTTTTTAAATTTTTGAGTTTTTCAAACAATCGGAAAACCAGGTTTCGCTTGAGACTGTCTCAGAATTTCATAAAATCCATTGGGTTTGGCTGATGTAAAATTCAAAGGGATTCTCAAGCGAAACTGTGTTTCCTGTGTGAAACCAATGTAAAAAACAATGAAAAAGCAGGTTTCGCTTGAGACCCCCTCTGAATTTTACATCAGCCAAGCTCCATGGAATTATAAAAAAATTGAGACAGTCGCAAGCCAAAAAAGGACTCCTTTTTGTAATCCGCCACAAAAGGAATCAATTTGTTATCCGCCACAAAAGGGTTCCTTTGTAATTCGCCACGGAAGGATTCCCTTTGTAATCCGCCACAAAAGGAATCAATATGTAATCCGCCACAAAGGAATCAATTTCTAATCCACCACAAAAGGGAATCAATTTGTAATCCTTCACAAAAAGAATCAATGTGTAATCCGCCACAAAAGGAATCAAGCTGTAATCTGGCACAAAAGAGTCCATTTGTAATCCGCCACAAAAGGAATCAACTTGGTGTCCGCCGCAAAAGAAAATCAATTCGCAATTCTTTACAGAAGGACGAAGAAAGAAGGAGGAGGAGGATGAACGCGAAGTAGATGCCATCAAAATGAGCCAAGAGGGTGGCCCACGGGAGTCCCATGCCACACTATTCAAAACGAGTTCCCAACAAGTAAGGGTTGGAAACACCAGCAGAAACAACAAAACACATTCGGACCCACGTCCGCCCAAACCTTCGGTACTCCTTGTGAGGGGGATTTCTGGGATTCTCGACTTTTGGTTGAAGACGGCTCTAAAAGGACAAATGACGCCGCGGCTATTTCTGGAGCCGTTTCGGCAATCACCGTGTCATTGAGGGCGCTCTCAGGACTTCAAAAGAAAACGCCACGATAGGCCAAGGTACTCACTAAGAGGACACAATGCACAAAGCCCGCGATGACCCCCTCCTCCTCATACTGCGTTTCCCCTCTCTTACCCCCCCATCTCTACCTAGCTTGCAATGGAAGCGGCTGCTCAGCTACCACTACTGCTTGAACCCAGAAAGGACAGCCAACGCTGCAGGTCAGAGCGAGAGCCACCCGCCACCAGTCGCGCAGCTCCCCGCGCTGTCTGGCGGCTGAGCGCTGTCCGCCTCGGGCGGGGACGCG